TTCATATCGTACCTGTGAGACCGTATGGGCAATGACATCTGCCATTTGCTGACGGCGATTTTGACCTCATTCCACCATTCAAACATGGTTCCAATTCGCATTGAGTACCCTCAAAACGTGGTTGACAATGGCATTTACCCTGAAAACTTCTTTGTTCAGGATTTCCAAACACTCCTCAAATACAATTCTTTCACTTGTTTCGGTGATTTAGAAGTCAATTTCATACTTGAATCAAATTATATTGATAAATTTAACAACAGAGTTGGAAACGATGAGATAGTCAATTTGTATGTTTCATTCATGAAATATTAAAAGGTCGTTGGCAACTGAATTGTGACCAAATGATGAACTGTTGTCACTCACATCGATAATAGAACCTCCATTGAGACACGTGATGTTCACAACAACCTCAGGTCCGAAAAAAATTGGTTGTGAAGGTATATTTGATGAACTGAGCACTTGCATATTACAGTTTACTGCGTACGTTACTGTTAGGAGTACTTCCAATGCAAACGACAACCACATTTTTCGGATATCTATTTGACTGAAATAAGTAAAATAAGTCTTGTCTCTTCAGTATCTTTTATTCACTGTTCTGCGAACATAGCTTCCATAATATGACATGCTTAGCGATCTGGAACAGTGCTTCTCATGCTGTTGTGTTCCCCTTTGGCGGCATAGCAGACCGTCATTCCCCCTTTCTAATCGTGTGCACGACCGTAATTCCTCTCTTATTTGAAAATTCATTACTTCTAGGCGATAAAGTAATTTTCANCATTCATCTCACTGTTGTCTTCGTATTCTTGATTTGACCAAATTCAATTTGCGATGTAGAAGTATTATAACATAGTCACGGAAGCGGCACTAGTAATTCTTAGTTAGGGGTTGGTTATGTGATCAACGATTAATGAATGTATGTGGTCAACACTGTGGTCATCATCAACTCATCCAAAACTAATTGCTTATTTATTTACATTCTCCTCGTCAGTACTAACAAATAAAAGAGATCACAACCCTTCATGCTTTATCTCAACTTATTGAAGTTTTGTCACGCGAATGTGATCATGGACATACCAAATATGTAATTATAAACTAAATTATATGTTACAAGTGACCATAACAATATACACAAATCAAGCAATATCTATTGAGAAGACTTCAAAATTTATATTTCGAATATGAATAGGAAACAATTGGAAATGAATTGAAAGCGAAGAAAGTTTTCGTTTGAGAATGTGTTCGAATGTTATATATCAGATAATAAATTGTTAATGGTTTTTCGCATTTCAGAACATCGTTTTGAATACTCATCTCATTAGCATTTTTGCATTTCCCTTCACTGCGATGATGATATATTTACCACAAACAAAATTTATGGCCTGACGTTTGAATGAATATATGACACTGAGATGCATTGCCATGATTTATTCATCCGTTTCGTGAACAATTCATACGAATCTAACAGGTTATCAGAAGAGGTTCTTCAATACAGTAATCATTAATCAAATTTACGGTAAGACGAGATATGCACGGGAATATGGGGTCACATAAGATTTATTGTATTTTCTCTGTGGGTGCGACTTTGCGTGAATGACAAAAGTATCTTTGTTATGAGCAATAAAAACGTACGTAATGATTTAGTGCGAACAATGTGAGGTCAAACAAAAAATGATAGTAATATAAGGAAACAGAGTGAATACTCGCGACAGACCATATGCTAGATATATGATCACCGAATACACTTAATTAAATTAGTCATTTATTTTATATGGTCAGGAATGCAGTATAATATTNGCAAGCTGCTGAAGTATCAAGAAAAGTACTCCTCTGAGACCATAAATAAACTGATGAGCTGCAAAATGTCAAGCAAGTTTGCATTCAAAATAAATTGCAAAATATATATAGTAGCTTAGTGTGGCCTGACGAGAGCGATATTATTTGATGTAATTGAAGACGTTTGTTTTTATAATGAGCAGAATATTGAAGAGAACTTAAAGAGGAGATCGATTTGAGAATAATTTGTGACAATTGATTGAACGGATTATATCGAAAGGAATTAATATTGGTGGTTATAAAACCACTTGAACGCAATGAATGAGTTCGATTGTGAGGCATAAGTATCGACGAAAACTGATATGATTGCTCTTGAAGAGACACTAATTAAAAGATTGATGATATACAGCAATTGCATTATGAATATACATGATGTTTGCATATTCACCATCATATATGGCTCGAGTTGACTAGGTCGTTCATTATGTATCAATCTGATTTCATCGTCATCTATGAAACCGCTAACATTATGATTCAAAACCAAAACGCTAAAAAATCAAATGGGATCATTTATTGCAACATTTGCATGATGAACAAACAGCAAATTCACTGATTGTGAGCGACAGAGTTGGTTTTCTTCGAATATATTACTGATAATAAGAATGACGTTTCCATTCA